GTCAGTGCTCAGTCCCATCCCTGAAAGTTTCCCCTGGGTCTTTCAGGGAGTCCTCAAAAGGGTTCCCCAATTAGTCCCAGTCACGACTGTGTCCTTCTGCCCTGACTTCTCTGGCTGAGATCCATGGCCCCCAAACCACCACTAAGAGCCCCAGGGCCACCACTGCTAATGGCACAGTGCCCATGGTGAGGCTGTAAGTCTCCAGGTCAGAGGGGCCGCCTCCATGCCCGAGAGCCCCCACGCCCCACGTGACCCACCAGTGCTGATTCTGTGCAGAGATGGAGAAAATGCACCTTGCACCCTTGCACTCGCCCCATCTCCTGCAAGCAGCCTGCAGCAAATCTCCACCCCTTCTCCACCCACCTCCTTCCCCCCAAGGGGGAAGAAGAAAAAACCAACAAAAATACCAGTTTCTGTAAGAGTGAGTTTAGGAATCACTGGCTCTCCAGTCATTTGCTCCCCCGGATTCAGACCTGGCTTATCGTAACAGATGATTAACGTGCTGAAACCAGAACGATGAACCTCTACACTCAGGTGAGATGAACAGTGTATTTGTTGAATTGAAACATCCACCTCAAAAAAAAACCCAGAAGGCTGCTAGCCACTTTTAAAAGACAACCCCTCCTCCTTCCTGGCACCTGGACTGCCCTGCCTGGGATAAATGAAGGGCACAGGACCTGGTGACAGTGATATGGCAGAGACGGCAGAGCATATGGGCAACATAGATGGTCAAAGAGAATCAGGCAGATGAAAAGAAAAAAAACAGCCGATAATAACGCCGTAATAAGAAAAGGGTTGTAGGAGAAAGGGGTGTGGTCAGAGGCTGACAACATTTGTCCAGTCCTAACAATGGGTACACTGACCACTTCATCAAATGTTGTAATAGAGGGACATGGTAGGGGGCTATCTCCTCAGCTACCATGGTTGGAAGTCAACAGTAATGTCCCAAACTGAAAAATCAAGAAATAGTAATATACACATATTATTTAGGAAAATAGAGGTAAATGCCAGGAAGAAGGCTATCCAGCTGAGAGTCATTTCCTCAGAGGAGAGAGCCCAGAGGACAAAGGGTGGTTGTTCCTTTTCATGACGATAAATATTTATTCCATTTCAGTTTCTTTTTAAAGTTTATTTGAGGGGCGCCTGGGTGGCTCAGTCGGTTAAGCGTCCGACTTCGGCTCAGGTCATGATCTCGCAGTTCGTGAGTTCGAGCCCCGCATCAGGCTCTGTGCTGACAGCTCGGAGCCTGGAGCCTGCTTCAGATTCTGTGTCTCCCTCTCTCTCTGGCCCTTCCCCTCTCGAGCTCTGTTTCTCTCTCTCTCTCTCTCTCTCTCTCTCTCTCTCTCTCTCAAAAATAAACATTAAAAAAAAATTTTTTTTTTAAAGTTTGAGAGAGAGAGAGAGTGCAAGTGGGAGAGGGGCAGAGAGAGAGGGGTCGAGAGAGAGAGAGAGAGAGAATCCCAAGCAGGCCAGATGCAGGGCTCAAACTCACACACTACAAGATCATGACCTGAGCCAAAGTCAAATGCTTAACCAACTGAGCCACCCAGGCGCCCCTCCGTTTTACTTCTAAACTATGTACATGTATCATTCTGTTAAAGAGAGAGGAGATGACTTTTTATAAAACAGGCCCTCTCTGGGGTTAAGCGTCCGACTTGCGCTTAGGTCAAGATCTCACGGTTCATGGGTTTGGGCCCCGCGTCGGGCTCCGTGCTGACAGCTTGGAGCCTGGAGCCTGCTTTGGATTCTGTGTCTCCCTTCTCTGCCCCTCCCCGGCTCACGCTCTGTGTCTCTCTCTCTCTCTCAAAAATAAATAAACATTAAAAAAAACACTTTTTTTTTAAACAGGCCCTCTCAGCTTCTACAAAGCAAGGTTTCAAAAATCGAAGGGCTCTATGCACCCAGGACAGCCAGCCAATGTGCTGCCGTTTGTATTACTTTGCAACAAAGTCCTGCAAACGGGGTGGCTTAGCCAGCAGAAATGCCCTGTCTCACGGTTCTGGAGGCCAGAAGCCTGGACTCAAGGTGTCGGCAAGGGTGGCTTCTTCTGAGGGCTGAGAGGGAGAATCTGTTCCAGGCCCCTCTTCCAGCTTCTGGTGGTCTGCCTGGCTGGGAGACACTTCACCCTGATCCCTGCCTTCATGCCCACACGGCGTTCTCCCTGTGTGTCGTGTCTGTGTCCAAATCTCCCCTTTCCGTAAGGACACCAGTCATATGGGATCAAGGACCCACCCTACTCTGGGATGACCTCATTTAACTTAGCTAATTACACCTGCAATGAACCTACTTCCAAATAAGGCCACATCCTGAGGTGTTGGGAGTTAGGACCTCAACGTATGAAGCGGGTAGGAGGACACGACTGAACCCATACCACCGTGTTACTGAGATGAGGAGTTACTGGGATACTCTGAAGCAGACTGGCCGCCCTGCAGGTCCCACCTCTTACTGTGGACCCCTTCCTAGGACACCTGCCTTCCTGTGCTCCCGATGGACTCACCAAGGCCCCCCTCTCTCTTAGTTTTTCCCTGAACACATACCACTGGAAGGACCCTTGCTCCTCCAACAACGACGCCAGTCATGACGCTGTCCCACTGTGTCATCTGTCCTGCTTCCTCTCACCGATCCCTGCTGGGCCAGGGGACCCTTAGCTATTCTCCCCTTCCCTCTGATTCGGCCAACTCCTTTTCAAAAGTTTCTTCTCAGGTAGAGTCGGCTCAGGTCATGATCTCACGGTTGTGGGATGGAGCCGCGTGTAGGGCTCCTTGCTGGGCAGGGAGCCTGCTTCGGATTCTCTTTCCCTCTCCCTCTGCCTCTCCCTAACTCGTGCTCGCGTGCTCTCTCTCAAAAAAAAAAAATGTTTTTTAAGAACATTATTTTGGGGGCGCCTGGGTGGCTCAGTCAGTTAAGCGGCCAACTTCGGCTCAGGTCATGATCTCGTGGTCTGTGAGGTCGAGCCCCGCGTCGGGCTCTGTGCTGACAGCTCAGAGCCTGGAGCCTGTTTCAGATTCTGTGTCTCCCTCTCTCTGCCCCTCCCCTGTTCATGCTCTGTCTCTCCCTGTCTCAAAAATAAATAAAACGTTAAAAAAAATTTTTTTTAAATAAAAAAAAGAACAATTACTTTGTAAAATAAAAAAAAACCCCACTTTTTAAAAAAAGTAAATGATTTGGTAAATAATGTCAAAGTCAAGTTACCATTTCCATGTCATTAACACACACACACACACACACACACACACACACACACACACACATTCCATTTTAACTCCAGGGCATCAAAGCACCCAGCTGAGGTCTGAATGGCATGTTTTTGCTAACGTGTTTTTGCTAACATCTCCAGTTGGGAAGGAAGGACAGATCAGGTCCGGAGCAAATCTCTGTGGGAAAACTTCAGTATAGTTTGTCTTGGAGCAACTTGTTCTGGAGTCCAATTCCCAATACCATTTAGAGACAGCTCTCACCAGGGAAAAACAAAACCCTGAATGCTTCTGAAAGAACGCATCAAGGTCTACTGCCTACGACTGCTGTAGAACTTGCTATCACGATAGAACTTTCATGCTTTTTCTTCATAATGGCGACAGTCATCCAAAAAATCAATAACTTTTCACTGTGCAGTTACTGTGTGCCAGGCACTGTTGTGCTTTGTGGGTTTCGATTTGTTTGAATCACCCAATTAGCTTTTAGCAGAGGAGGTGCTCAAGAAGGAAAGCTCTAGAGGCACCTGAGTGGCTCAGTTGGTTGAGCACCCTACTTGGGCTCAGGTCATGATCTCGCAGTTCATGAGTTCGAGCCCTACATGGGGCTCACTATGCTCAGAGCAGACAGTGCTTCATGTCCTCTGTCCCTTCCTCTCCCTCTGCCCCTCCCCCACTCGTGCTCTCTCTCAAAAATAAATAGCACATTAAAAAAAAAAAAAGAAGAGTGGGGCCTGAGTGGCTCAGTTGGTTAAGTGTCCAGCTTCAGCTCACGTCATTATCTCGGGGTCCCTGGGTTCGAGACCCGCGACCGGCTCTGTGCTGACAGCTCAGAGCCTGGAGCCTGCTTCACATTCTGTGTCTCCCTCTCTCTCTGCCCCTTCCCTGCTTGCACTCTTTCTACAATATATAAACATTAAAAAAAATATTTTTTTTTAAGAAGAAAGGGTCTCAGACAGGCTTTCAATTCCCCATCTATAAAGTGGGGGATAATACTCGCGTGGGAGAGAGTAGTTGTGAGGAATAAATGAAATAATGTAGATAAAGCACTTGGGCCCAAGGTTTTCCACTGTAATTTCACAGGCATCAAGAATTGAATGATACATTTGAAAAATATGAACAGCATTAATTTAAAAAAAAACAGCAGGAAATGGAAAATTTTAAGATTCTAGAGTATTTCAGTCTGCCCTTCAATATGTCCGTCCTGCTGGAGGTGAACTTGGGGGTGGCGTTTGATCTATGGGTCCCCAGGAGCCAGTCTCTGCTAAGCCTGGCGTCATTCCACATCAAAGGAGACAAGGAGAAGTCAGAGGAACCGAAATGCTGCCCACACTTCAAAGGGAGTTCCTCTTCCGGAAGTTGTTACAGCCTTTCAAGGAGGGTAAAACAGCGGTGCAGC